TGATAGAGAGCTGCAGTTTTCTGATTTTTGTCTATCTACTTATCTCCTTGCTCAAGGCTTTGTAAACCCTTTCTTCTCCCCCTTCCCCTCCTAGGTATGAGGGCCTTCTCGATCATTTCTTGTTGGGGAGGGGGGGGGTCTAGTGGCAATGAACTCCCTCAACTTTTGTTTACCTGGGAAAGCTTTTATTTCTGCATCATATCTGTAGGATGTTTTTGCTGGATAGGATATTCTTGGCTGAATGTTTTTGTCTTTCAGAATTTTGAATATGTCATTCCCTACTCTCCTAGCCTGTAACATTTCTGCTGAGAAATCTGCTGACAGCCTGATAGGCGTTCTTTTGTCGGTTGTTTTCTTCTGCCTTGCTGCCCTTACTGTTTTTTCTTTGTCATTGACTTTTGCCAGTTTTATGACTGTATGCCTTGGAGAAAGTCTTTTTACATTGATGTAATTAGGAGTTCTGTTAGCTTCATTTACTTGTACTTCCAGCTTCTTCCCCAGGTTTGGGAAGTTCTCACCTAGTATTTCTTTGAACAAACTCTCTGCTCTTTTCTCTCTCTCTTTTTCCTCTTGAATACCTATAAATCCTTATGTTGCATTTCTTGACTGAGTCATACATTTCCTGGAGAATTTCTTAATTTCTTTTTAGTCTTAGTTCTCTCTCTTCCACCATCTGAAGCATTTCTACGTTTATGTCCTCTCAGTTGCTAATTCTGTCTTCCATAATGTCAGCTCTGTTATTTAAGGACTCCATGTTTTTCTTTATCTGAATCATTGTATTTTTTATCTCCAACAATTCTGATTGGATTTTCCTTATAGTTTTCATCTCGTTTGTAAAGAAGTCCCCCTGTTTGTTCATTGTATTTCTGATTTCATTGAACGGTCCTTCTGAGTTTTTGTGTGAGTCATTGAGTTGTTTTATGATAGCTGCTTTTTGTTTTTGAGTTTTTCTGGTCATGAAGATTGGCCCTGCGATAACATCTGTTCCCAATCTTCCTCTTTTTGTTGAGGAAGATTAGCTCTGAGCCAACATCAGTGCTCATCTTCCTTTATTTTGTATATGGGATGCTGCTACAGCATGGCTTGGTGAGTGGTGTGTAGGTCTGTGCCTGGGATCCGTACCTGTGAACCCTGAACCGCCAAAGTGGAATGTGCAAACTTAATCACTGCACCATCAGGGCAGCCCCTGTGATAGCTGTTTTTAATTCTCTGTCATTTAGATTGTAAATTTCTCTGCCCCCAGGATTGATTTCTGAGTGTTTGTCTGTCTTCTTCTGTTCAGGAGTATTAATATACCTCTTTGTACTATTTGATGGGGTGGATTTGTGCCTAAGCATAGTGGTAGTATCTCGTCGCAGATCCTCCTGCTGCCGCGGGGGTTGGAAGAGGTGTGTTTTCTGAACCTGCCGTGACCTCTGGAACCTGTGCCTGTCAAGCCTGGGCCACTCGTTGGGATCACAGCACCACTGTGGGCTCTCCCCCTGTACGGGAAAGTGATCATGCAGGGGCTCAAGGCTGCTGCCACCTTCTCCTACAGTCCCATCGAGATGTGCTCCCACCTTTTGACCTGTAGCAGTACCATGGGCATTCACAGTAGCCAGGAAATTGTACGCACGGGTGTGCAGATCTGCTGCTGCCTCCAGGTCACACCTGCTGTTGTGCTTTGTGGGCAGGTCTTCCCCAGGAAGTCTGAGCCTGGGCCACTCCCTGGGACCACATTGGTATTGTGGGCTCTCCCATTGGATGGGAATGCAATCACACTTGGGCTGAGGACTGTCATCACCTTTTCCCATAATCACACCCTCAGGCCCACAGCGATACTGTGGAGGCTCCAGCTGGGAGAGCAGTCACATGTGTGCACAGGGCTGCCAGGGGCCCAGACCTATCTTCACCATCTCCCCAGGAGCAGCTCATCCACCTTTAGACGTATAGCAGCATGGGTCTCTGAGGCTTCCTCTTATGCTATATGGGTATCCTCCGATGATCAATGAAGTTCTAAGGGGTAGGGATGAAGGGAACAGCTCACTCCATTGTGTCACAGATGTCCTCCTCTGTGTTTTTTCAATACATAGTTTTTCATGAACTATTTTCACTTGTCCTTGTTCTTATATACTCTTTTTGTTTACATCTTTTGTTTTATTGTAAACTTGAAAGGAAAGAATTAAGCCTCATTAAATTTGTCCCTTTATTGTTTGCTATTCCTGTATGGGTATGAATCTTGGAGATATTGGTCTCTAAATAAACAAGTTATTTCCCAGTGGAAAAGGGTATGTTGAGTTTGAATCTTGATCTAATTCTTGGCATTTCAAAATCAAGACAGAAATACAGAGCAGAAATAGGAAACCTTTTGAAGATGCCGGGCCCCCATTGTGGGCCTCTAGGGCTGCTTGTTTCTCTGCTCCCCCTTCAGCAGGGGCTCTGTGCTGTTTGCCTTTCTGCTGTCTCCCTCTCCCTCTGTGACTTGACTTTCCTCCTCATCCACCTTCCCTTCCCCACATCCTCCTCATCTGTGCTGCAGGGGGCTGCTCAGTTTTGCCTGCACCCCAGGCCAGATTGCAATCACAGGCCTCTCCCAGGGTTGATGATTCTACCCTTCTCAATGGGTAAGTCTCCATGGGCCTTCCGCACAACTTTCTCTAACCTCCTTGATCCTCAGTCCGACTCCCTCTCAACAGCTTCCTCTCTGACCTCACAGAGAGCACACATCAAATGGAAACCCCACACCTGAACCTCCTCTCACCTGTGGTCTGCTCAGCTTGTCCTCCTGCCTTCTCAGGAACCTTAAGCTCTCATTGTCTCTTCTCTTTCCTACATCTCTAATTTTTGTCACCTCTTTGGACTTTTACCATCAGCATTTCTAAAGTCTGCTTAAGCATTTCCCAACCCGAAACAAAAACTTTTCCCTCCACCTCCTTCCCACTGCAGCTACTACCCTCACCCTCTCCATGCTTGTCACTCACACTTCTGGAAACAGTCATCTGTCCTGTGTCTCTCACCTCCCAGTCAGCTGCAGCCCTCTCTCATGGTGCCTCTGCCCTCGTCGCTCTGCCAGTTGCTTAGGTTGTGTGTGTCACTGGTCCACTAACTATACCCTCCCAACTGCTTTTTCCTGATCCATTCCTGCCTTCTTCCTACCCAGTGTCTACACTGTAGGCAAAGGAGTCTTTTTAAAACGATTGGACCATGTGACTTTTTCGCTTCAACCTCCCCAGTGGCTTACCACAGAGGTGGAGTCTGAGGGTGGAGACCAGTGTCCTTTCTTGGCTCACCCTCCAGGCATCTTTAGGCCTGGGCCCCTCCCTGCCTCTCCAGCCTGGCCAGAACTCTGCTTCCTGCCCATTGCTCTTTCACCTCCTCCAGTGGCCCTCTTCTTTTCTGCCCTTTACGTATCCTATTTCTTCTGTGGAAATACTTCTTTGTCCCTGCAGCCCATTCTTCCCTTGTCTAGTTAATGCCTGTTCATTTTGCAAATCTCACTTCTACACTATTTTCTCAGTTAAGCCATTCTAGGTTATAGCTTTCAGGCCAACCTGCACTGCCTTCCTTCTTAGCACTCATTATAGTCATAGCTCTTTTTAAAATCGTGCCTACATGGGTGATGCCAGCCTGTGAAGCTCATGGGCCAGGGCCCCTGTCTGATCACCATTTTCTGTCCCTTGTGCATAATGCAGTGCTTACCCACAGTAGTTTTCACTGTTTGTTGAATAAATAAGAAAATGCCATCTTTCCACATATACTTCTTTTTTATGAAAATAAAACTATTAAAGCTTTGTGAAGCATGAAAAATTCAAGTGTAGCACAAGTCCTATCAAAAGAAGGTAAAATATAAAGTGAGGTTAAAGGAACCTGAACATTTTGATACAAGCTCTTGGCATACGTGACTTAATTAAATCTTGACTTTTTAAAGTCCTGTTTGAGGAAATTTTTCTTTATGCAAGATGGGTGCTCCTGGTGTCAGAAATCCCCAGGCCTTTTACTTGCACCAGAATTTACAGTATACAACTTCCTTTGGTCCATATTTTAACTCTTTAAAATTGTCTTTTTTGCCTAGTTTGCTTTTCTTATAGCCAAGCAGAAAGAGAAAAGGCTTTGTTGTCTGAGCCTTCATTATGTACTACTACTGTAGTCTTTCACTTAAGAAGCCATTTTTAAGTGATCATTCTTGTGTTCATTCATTCCTTCTGTAAATATTTATTATCTGCTGATGTGCCAGGGACTGCTCGCATTATCATTCATTATGTAATGTATTTTTCCTTAGAAGAGCTTTTGGATAAATTTATAAATTGTAAATAGAGTGGTATAAAGTGATAGCTTTCTTCAATAAACATCAGTATTAATGATTTTAAAGCAGAATAAGATTAAGTACCTCTTAAACTACATTATTAGTTTATTTCTAAGAAAATATGTGATGTTATATGATTAGGCTTAATTACTCTCCTAGAGGAAGCCTTAAGTCATATAGGATATTATACTGAGTTTCCAAGCTTTGCAATTTATTTGTAAAATAAAAGAATGCAATTCGCTATCATAGTTATTTGTTAGGATATCAATTCAGCCTTAATACTAGCTGACACCATGAATTATAATTTATTTCTTGAAATTTTAATCTTTTATTCCCATCATCAGTTATTATATTCACTTAAAAGTCAACAGAGCACTTGAACAGGCTTTCACAGGCAACGAAGGAATAGAAATAGTACTAACTTTTATTAAGATTTTAAATAGATTTTTAAAGATCGTTGCCACCGTCTTAGTTCCCTACAATGCTGTATTTTCACGTACAAACTCCTGTTTGACAATTACCACTTTTGAAATTAAATGGAATATCTTTATCCTTTGTTATCTTGTCAACTAAAATATTTCAAAGTTAGTTTCAAACCATAATGAAATTCTATTATTAACTTTTCATTTGGTGTTATTTTTAACTTTCCTGCCTTGTAAATACTTAGTACGATGACTTAAGCAATTTACTCACATGTGTATTCTTTTCTTTTTTCAAGTCACTGCCCAAAAATATGGTGTCTCGTCTTTGTGAATCTAAAAAGGTTTGTGCTGCAGCTGATATGCAGCTTCAGGTATGTATGTACCTTTGTTCTGAAGTATTTCAGAGTAGTTATTCAAAATAAATATATAGCTTTAAATTCTTTCCAGTGCTACACATTTGTTATAATAATTATGCTTCTAAAGCATCTTTCATCTGAGTTCAAAGAACTTGACCAAAATTGACTCATTCAGTCCTTGCACTGTCCTTATAAAGTAGATGTTAAATAACATTGTCTCCCATGTCAGTGGGGAAAATCAAAGCTTGGAAAAGTTACATGGCTTCTAAATTATACATTGCAGCAATCCAGTTGTATATTTTTATTCACTTTGTATTGTTTCCAAAATTTGTGTTTTTAGATGTGAAGTTTAAATGGTAATAGCTGTTAGTTTTAGATGGTATTCAAAACCAATTTTCCAGGTTTCCAGATAAAAACTAGAAAAATTTTATGAACCATCTGGATGTCAGGTCTACATGATCCCAGATGTTTAGGTTATTTGTAATTACTGAGATTGTTTGTGGGATTCTTACTCTTCATCAGATCTTGAGAGTTATATAAACATAGCCTAAACACCCATCTTTCATCTCAGACAATACTGACTTTATAATGATCCAGTTACCTATTTAAAAGTGTAGCCACTATTTAATTGCTTTATAGTTTTTCAAGTTCAGTCCTTAGAAAGTAATGAAGGAACTCTGTTTTTGTTGTACCTTAAAATATATATTTTAGTGAAGGAAATGCGCCCTATAGACAAAACCATGAATTGACATTTGATTTACATGATTTAGTGTCTCTTAATATCAATATAACTTAAAAAGGCTTTCTGGATTATTTGAAAAAATTAGCATTCCTTGGCAAAAGTCTTTTGATTTGCTGATACTCTGCAGTGAAAGTAGAAGTCCTACCTTTTAAAAGTCTGTATTGGGGCTTTCTTTTGGAACAGTTGTTCCAATGATTTCCTTATAAAATGGAAAACCAACCTTTCACTCCTTCCACCCTCCAAAAACAATAACCCCCTGAGGGAGGTAGAGAGAGAGAGATTGAAAGAGAAGGGGAGGGAGAGGGAGAGAGGAAGGGAGAAGGAGAGGGAGAGAGGGAGGGGGAAGGAGAGGGAGAGAGGGTGGGGTAAGGAGAGGGAGAGAGGGAGGGGGAGAAGGAGAGAGGGGGAGGGAGAGGGAGAGGGGGAGGGGGAGAGAGAGACTCTTGTCAGAAGAGCTGCCTGTGTCAGCTCTCAGTTTATACAGCTATCCCCTTGTGCAGTGGGTGGAAAGGAAATGAATTTTTTCAGATTTCTAAAGGGGTATAAACAGTGTTTTAAGAATTGTGAACTTTTTTTGTTGTTGTGCATTGTTTTAAAAATAGACTCCTATTTTTCTGTGGCTCTGAGGGCCCTGGTCCCAGGCATGCATGACTTCCTAGGTTGGTGGTAGGCTTATTGCTTTAGAATTGTTTCGTTTATCATAAAACGACCATGAAATATGTGTGCATGAAATACCTTTTGCTCTGTTTTTGTTATTTAAAAAAATAATTTCATTTGTGAAAGGCATAATTGAAGGAATGAACTCTTGAATTCTGATTTGTTTATAGATTGGGGCAAAAAAATACCTCAGTTGAGGTTAGAAATAAGAGTTTCAATTCCTAATAATTTATTCTTTTAGAATATAGATAAGACATGGATGAGTAATTTTGGCTTCTCTGATTATCTTTATGCATTGTTACTCATTATAGAATATAGAATTAAAAGAGCTGTATTTAGCTATATGTTTAGATTACCAGTTAGAGTAAAGCAATATTTATATTTAGGAAATGTCTGTATTTTTCTAGGGAAGGTTGAAACTTGACTTTATAATTTAGAACCATAATTCCATATCTACATGAAGCCAGAAGCTAGAGGTCATTTAAATTTTTTCTTTTATCCAAGCTAATCCTCACTTCTTTCAAGTCAACAGCTGCACATTCTCTACAAATTCCATTTTTTAATCAGAAAGATATGTATCAGAATCATAATTGCATATCAGAATTCTTCCTTTAAAATATAGTATTTTCTGCTTTCTTGCTTCAGCTGAACTCCAAACAATGTTAATGTTCAAGTCAAATATTGCAGTGAAAAAGCACTTTATCTTTATTTTAGATTTCCTATGCAAAATTTAGTTTTCAGAACTGTGTAAGTGGCAGATTTCATGTTCAAACTTTTTCTAGTGCTTTGTTCTCCTCTTATGTTTCAATGCCCTAGATCCTCTACTCAGAGGTGAGGGATCCTTCTCTCCTGATCACCTCCTTAAGCCAGAATTGCCCCTGCACAGCAGCTGTGTCCTTTGTATCTCCTGACACCAGGTGTGGGGTCTGACTTGGCCCCAGCTCCAGACTCCCCAGCAGCTGCTCCAGGATTCTTTGTAACATCTGTACTCACTAGACATCAGATTGCTATTCCTTTCTTCACCACACCCCACCTATTTAATCTTCTTTCACCTCTCATCACAAAACTAAGATTCTGATCACTTCATTTCTCTCATTTAAGGTATATCAGAGTTCCAGGAAGAAACCAAACAGTGTTTGTTAGATCCAGGGGGTCACAAGTTGTAACTTTATTTTTTCATATTTCCAACTATATATATTACCTATATATATAAGCAAAATTCCAGTTCTGTGATCACAAATTTAATATGCTACATTGTACATAAGGAGTACCTTATGGATAAGGTTCAAAATTCCTTAATATCTTTAATCATGAAAAGGTTGAGTTTTCCTTTTCATCATTAACGTGTTCTTACATGTGGTACAAAACACATCTCAAGCCACATATACATTTATATTTGTGAATATTTTCAACTGTGGTTTATAATTATTATTCTGATGCACTTACAACATCTTTGGTTGACCACATCTTAGATAAGAATGGACTACCAAAACTAAATGGATGTTTTCGTCTGTCTAGGTCTTTTATGCCACTCTGGATCAAATCTACCATGGGAAGCATCCCCTGAGGAAGTCAACCACTGACATTCTCAAGGAAACACAGGAGAAGTTTTATGGCTTACCATACGTTCCAAATACCGTGAGTCTGGCATTTTGATGCTGTTGTGTACCGTTGAATGGTTCTGCTAGTGTATCTGTCGGAGTAAGTCGGTTGTGATCACCTTCCCTCTTACAGAACTTGAAATCCTCACATTTATGTTGAGATTTCCATTTGGGCAAATGCTAGAAATTACCTGGCTCATTTAATGTCTTTGACCGTCCTTTTACATGTGCTTATTTTCCCCCTGCTAGCATTGTTTTTCTAGATTCATGGGAAAGTGGAGGCCTCTATTCTTTTTTGTTATTTTTCTATAATGAGAAAATGGTTAGCAAGCAATATAAGGTGAATGTGACTATCAGTCCCTAATCATTTCATTGCAAAGAGAATTAACATGTATCGAGTACCTTTTTCATGTCAGGGGTTGTAACAGATGTTTTCCATGTCTTGTCGTGGGGTTAGTTCCCTGTCAGGGTAGGAGCAGGAGTGTTGCTACCATTTATTGAGCTCTAGGGGCTAGACTCTGTCTAATAGCTTTGCAAAAAAACATCTCTAATTTAACTCTCAGAACAATTCTATAAATTAAACAATATCTCCATATTTGGGGCTTGTATTGAGGCTCATACATATTATGTGTCCTAAGATCACTTAGTTACTGAGTAGCCATGTTGGAATTCAAAACCAGCCCCTGCAGTCGTGCTTTGTTCGTTGCTTCCGAGCTCCCTGAGGAGGCTCGGAGGATGGTGCACTTCGCCAGGCGCCTGCCTCGCGTTACTCAGGACTCAGCCCCAAGGGACAGAACCCGATTCCTCCTGGCTGCAGCAGGAGAGCAAGTTTGTTGAGTCTCGTGGCTGAGAGGTGTAGGGCTCTATCTGGTTTCTGGTGAAGTGGATCTAGTTGATTCTTACACAGTATTGTTAGAAATATTTCTCTTTCTTAGCTCTGTTTTTCTCTGGACTTATTTCATTCGCAGACAGGCAGCCCTGACCTGGCGATGTGGTGGCTACCAGTAGGTCCGGGTTTATATCCTGCTAGCTTAGCCAGTCTGATAGAAAGAGAGCTAATTTGAAAGTACTCTGTAAACTGTAAAATGCCAAATAAATGGTTTTATTTGTTACAGTATTGGATACCAGCACATGTTATACTGAGCAGTTAAGTTAATCAGTAAACTATACTTGTCCACTAGATCTTCAGGTCCTAACACTCAAACGTGCATGGAAATAGTTCATATTTACCAGAAAAGTAAAGTAACAGGGTATTTTATCTTCATAATATTCCTTATCAACAGTTCTGATCATCTTAGAAGCTTAATCATCTCCATATATATGATTCTAGTCATACTCTCTACCTGGTTTTGACCTTATATATAATTTATTGTTCTAATTCTGTGTACTGTTGAGCTCTGGATTATCTGTATTAGTTAAAATTTGTAGCAATAAGTCATAAATAATAACTATTTATCAATGGAATAAATCATAATAGCAATTGCCTAGATTTTAATAGCTTTTTCCAGTTTATGGAGCCTTGCCTGATTCATGTGCTTCCGTGTGCGTGTGTTTTTGTGCTTATTTTATATTCTTCTTTGCTTGGTTTTAAAATGGATGTGACTTAAACTCCATATAGTTACAACATAACCAGTAAGTAGTAAAGTCATAGGAAGACCCAGATGAGGAGGACCTGGGCTGCTTCCTAAAGCCGCAGAGCTGCCTTTGGCTGAGTGGCGTGCCCCTGCCTTTCTTTTAAGTCTTATGAAGATTTAGCTCCTCCTCCTTTCGGAAGAGAACTCAAACTTCCTTCCCATCTAGCTTTCCTCTATGTAATAACTAAATATACAATAAGGTAACAGTGGCAAACAAATTCTCCATCAATTATGAGTAAATTATTTTTGATTAAAAAGAGGGATGATGTTATTAAATCCACTATCCTGTCCTAGTTTCTTTTGAGAAAATATAAAGCTTCGTCTCTCACTGAGATCGTCTCCCCTCTTCATTGTCGGTAGCTGCAGCACTTTGGACAAATTGTCTTAAGAGCCCTTTAGAAGAAGCATAGCTACAGTTAGAGAAGAAAGACTTTGTTTTAAGTCTTGTCTTTTTTTTTTTAATGTCTGAGAGTTTGTTTAAATTTGCACAAACATTCTATTCTTCCTACCTGGAAACTTTGGAACATCCTCATTCATTTAGCAGCTCATCATTAAACCTATAATAAATATTTCCACAAAAATAAAGAATAAAACCATTGGAATTCTTCAACGCAACATTCATCAGGGTAATAAGACAAGGAAAAGAAAAGATAGAAGCATTGGAAGGGAAGAATAAAAATTGTCATTATTTGCAGATAATTGATTGCTGAGAAAAATCAGAAGTATCTACAGGTAAATTATTAAAATTAATGAGAGGTTAGCAACTATTCTGGATAAGCAATCAATATATAAAAATTTCATCTCTGTTTACCATCAACAAACTGAAAAAAAATTTAAAGATACCATTATAGCCACAAAAAGTATGAGGTACCTACTAAAAAAAGTCTTATAAAAAAAAGGGTATTATCTTTATCTTCAAAATTCTAAATAGATGAAGAACTGAACCGTATTTATAGATAGGAAGATTTAGTTTTAATTTAAAATTAATATTAATTTTTCTCCAGTTAATCTATATTTATTGTAATGTAATGCTGTTTGTTTGTTTGAACCTAACAAGCTGATTATAGAATTTGATGTGAAAGAGCGATGGCCCAAGGATGGCCAGGACAATTCTGAATAGCAGCAGCAAGAGGAGAGACCTGCCCAATCACGATTAGTATTCACATGAAGTTGCAGGAATTCAGACAGTGGAACACTGGTGAGGGATGAATGAGTAGAACGGTGGAGCGGAAGCGAGAGTCCAGGGGCGGACTCAACACCTTCATGGACTCTTGAACGTAAGCTGGGTAGCACTGTAGCTCTGTGGGCAAAGAAGGGACTGTTCATTAAACGATGCTGTAGCAATTGATCATCCATACCGAAAAGATGAAACTTGCATCTCGGTTCTCATACTGCACACAAAAATAGGGTGGGGTAAAGACCCAAATGTGAGAAGTGAAGCTTTATATTTTTAAAAGATAGTGCAAAAGAATATCTTTCTGTTAGTCCCTTTTTATACTTGCTCAGACTATCCTATATCTTATTTACAATGTAAAAGGCATTAAGCATAAAACAAGACTGATAAATTCAACTATATTAAAATTTAAATCTTCTGTTCATCAAAAAAATATGTAAAAAATAGTGAAAAGAAAAGCTACGGAGGAAGAGATTTTCAACACCTATAACTGGAAAAGGGTATTTTTTCCCTTTATTTATTTAGTTATTTTTATTGTGGTAAAAAACACACACACACACATTACATAAAATGTACCATCTTGGAAGAGGTATATTTTTAAAGTGCTTTGAAGGGGCAAAAGACATGGACATGCAATAAGCCACATATAATGACCTGCATGTTAATCAGGGAATGCAAATTCAGACCACATCAGCATACTGTTTGACTCTCACCAATTCGGCAAAAAGTAAAACAACTGGTAGGACCCAGTGTTGACAAGGGTATGGAGTCACAGGCACTCTTACACATGTGGATAGAAGTGCACATTTGGTGTGACCACTTTGGAAAACAATTGGGCATTATCTGTTAGAGTTGAAGATGGACATACCCTATGCCCAGCAATTTAACTCCTATGTGTAACCTGGAGAAAGCATTGTCTGTTATACCAGGTGTTAAGAACAGGAAGATTTGTAACAGCACTGTTTGTAAATAGGAAAAAAGGGGGAGATAGCATTCTAGAAAGAACCCAAGTGATTGTCAACATGAAAATGAATAATTTGTGGCATATTCGTCAGTTGGAACACTGTTCAGCAGTGGAAATTGAGGAATACAGATGGTAAACTTACAGGCATAATGTAAAGTAAAAAAAAGGTGAGTTTCAGAAGAATTAAACTATGTACATTTATAATAAAGTTCAAAATCATTCAAAACTAAATAGTACATTATCATAGATATATACATATGTAGTAGAACTATGAAGAAAATTGAAGGAGGGGTCTGGCCTGGTGGTGCAGTGGTTAGGTTCACATGCTCCGCTTCAGCAGCCCTGGGTTCACGGGTTCAGATCCTGGGCACGGGCCTACACACTGCTCACCAGGCCATACTGTGGTGGTGTCCTGTATATGAATAGAGGAAGATTGGCACAGATGTTAGCTCAGGGACCATCTTCCTCACAAAAAAAAAAAAAAGAAAAAAGTAAAGGAGTAATAAGCATAAAGTTCGGATGATACTTATCTCTGGAACAAGGAATGGGAACAAGAAGTCCTAATATTTTATTTCTTAAACTGATTAGTAGGTATGTTTTTGATAATTTTGTCATCCTTTCTTCCTTATTAGTAGAAATATATTCTTGGAATGTAGAAGATATTTCTAAATGTTAAAAGGTCATTTTGGCTGCAATGTGTGTGGTAAAGAATGGATTTGGGGAGACCAGTTGGGAAGTTATTCAAGTGCCTGGGCAAAGCTGACGGTGGCTTGAACTAGGATGGTGGCCATGGAGGAGGAAAGGTTGAAATGGGTTTGAGAACAGTGCAGAAGGTGGAATCAATAAGGCCAGGTGTGGACTGGATGTGGAGGTTGGGGTGATGAGTGAGAAATGTGGATCAAGAATGGCAGCACGGTTTTTAACATGAGTGTTGAGTAGAGGGTGACTGTAGTGTCTTCCCATGCTGACCAAAAAGAGTGACAGCTTTTCGCCCTGTAAACTTATTTCCAGAAACTGTTTTATGTCAAGTGAATCATTTTATTCCCTGAAATTGAACAATGAGAAAAGGAAAATATAATTTAAACAACAACCTACAGAATATTCGTAATGTTCATAGAGTCTGTTCAAATTATTTGTAGGTAATGTGGTGTGAACTTTTAGACAATGATTATATATCTGTCTATATTAGCATCTCTCTAAGTGTGTTAATAACTCACCTTGGGAATAAAGTGTCCCATCAGTTATGTTGGAGAACCACTGGTGTA